TCTCAATATTAATTATGTAACAACTTTACTTTATTAATAAAGATCGTGAGAAATGCCTCACTTAACAGTAAAAAAAAGATAAGCTTAAGCAAAAATTTTTTTTAGATTATAAACAAATAATTTATAAAATTTGATATAAAATAGATAATATTTCATTGTATAATTAATAAAAACAGGTTTTAAAATATTACATTTTTTTGTAAAAATTTAAAATTTTGTACTATGTTTTTATATTAACTCATATATAATACTTTGGCAAATTTGTTCTATCAATTTTTGTTAGTCTACAATAAAAATAAATTTTAAATATAAAAACAATATAAAATATTAAAAATGTTCTTAAGTAACCTTGTACTATATGGTTTTAAAAATATTTCTATAAATTTTTATAATATTTAAATAATTATTAAAAAAATTATATTAGAAAATCCAATTTCAAAAATTTATGACTCACACTGTATATACATGTATATATTAATATTTAAATTAATGATGCTTTGTAATATTAAAGTAAAATAGTTTAAGACATGGCTTATATTTAGTAAAATAAAAAAATGAAAAAAAAGAGTTAATATTTGTTAATATAAGAGGGAAATATTAATCGGTCAAACATGACAATATTCACATACATACAGAAATATAAAATATAATCAAATTTGTATTCTTTTCCTTGCCCTTCGATATCAAATGATATCAAATAGAGAGTTAGTCTCTCTCTGTTTTACAAATTATCTCGCTCACTAGGTCTTTATCTTCAATAATCAGGCCACAGATCCTTTGTAGCCTTATTACTGATTAAGGTAGATGTATTAATTACAGTTTTCTTTATTTGGGTGTTGCACAACAAGTACAATCGTTTATTTTATTAGCTCAATGCCGCTGCTATTTTAGTAGGGAAGACGCGTCTCCTCCAGCTGCGACACGTCATGTAAACTGATGATGCATAAATTTATGCATCAGTAGCAACACAACATAATCTAAACTCTCTTATAACTATTGTTAATAACATCATAATTTACGGCTACTATGTCTATTTTATATTCAACAATATATCTATATATAGTTTCTTTAGTATTACACATCCATTCTATTAATTATATACTTTATTAGTTAATTATGTACTCTATTTATCAGGTTATTTCACGTATTACGTAATGATCCAGACAAGATATAAATGACTACCTTGTCTAAACCGTATAGTCCTTCTCTCCACTCCGGACAACCAACAACTTCCAAAGCAAACACGACGTCATGTGAAAACGGATATTATTTATACTCTTCTAGTGACTATTATTGCATCCCTAACAAGTCATACGACATTCCTTGCACACTAACGACATACGTTGTGGTAGCATTTGCTGTCTTCACTAGTGTTCCGAATGGGTCAGTTCGGGTCGGGTTCGGGTTTGACCCGATACAACCCGTTTAATAATTTTCGGGTTTG